TCTGGTCTCTCTCTCTGGTCTCTCTCCGGTCTCTCTCTCTCTCTGGTCTCTCTCTGGTCTCTCTCTGGTCTCTCTCTGGTCTCTCTCTGGTCTCTCTGGTCTCTCTCTGGTCTCCCTCTGGTCTCTCTCTGGTCTCTCTGATCTCCCTGGTCTCTCTCTGGTCTCTCTCTGGTCTCTCTCTCTGGTCTCTCTCCGGTCTCTCTCTCTCTCTGGTCTCTCTCTGGTCTCTCTCTGGTCTCTCTCTGGTCTCTCTCTGGTCTCTCTCTGGTCTCTCTGATCTCCCTGGTCTCTCTCTGGTCTCTCTCTGGTCTCTCTCTCTGGTCTCTCTCCGGTCTCTCTCTCTCTCTGGTCTCTCTCTGGTCTCTCTCTGGTCTCTCTCTGGTCTCTCTCTGGTCTCTCTGGTCTCTCTCTGGTCTCTCTCTGGTCTCTCTCTGGTCTCTCTGATCTCCCTGGTCTCTCTCTGGTCTCTCTCTGGTCTCTCTCTCTGGTCTCTCTCCGGTCTCTCTCTCTCTCTGGTCTCTCTCTGGTCTCTCTCTGGTCTCTCTCTGGTCTCTCTCTCTGGTCTCTCTCCGGTCTCTCTCTGGTCTCTCTCCGGTCTCTCTCTGGTCTCTCTCTGGTCTCTCTCTGGTCTCTCTCTCTGGTCTCTCTCCGGTCTCTCTCTCTCTCTGGTCTCTCCCTGGTCTCTCTCTGGTCTCTCTCTGGTCTCTCTCTGGTCTCTCTGATCTCCCTGGTCTCTCTCTGGTCTCTCCCTGGTCTTTCTCTGGTCTCTCTGATCTCCCTGGTCTCTCTCTGGTCTCTCCCTGGTCTCTCTCTGGTCTCTCTCTGGTCTCTCTCTGGTCTCTCTCTCATATCTCCTCTGTCTCTCTCCCTGGTCCCACCCTGGTATCTCTATCTGGTTTCTCTGATGTCGCTCTCTGGTCTCTCTAGTGTCTCTCTTTGGTCTCTCAGGTTTCTTTCTGGTCTACTCTCTCACACTCTCATGGTCCATCTCGCCGGCTCCTAAATCATGCTGTAATAACTTTCCTGATGAAACACGTTGCTAGGTGACCGCTGATTCCGAAATGTGTGTTTTTAAAATTGTCTGGAGAGAAAACTGTGATTGATTTTCTCACCTGTATAAGTGTCGTGCAGTAAATAAATGAGGTTTATAAAAGTAACTGCAGAAAACACAAGACACAAATGTTAATATCAATTTGACTCAATGTTCCAAGAGCGCAAAAAAACCACAGTGGAGATGGGCGGAGTCTTAGAGCGTATATTAGGACATTAGAAGTGTGACACAACCATAGTGTTAGCCTTAGTTAACTTAGTGGAAGTTAATTTCATGCTTTCTAACGATGGTGCCTAATGGCAGCATGTAGAGTGTGATGAGAATCAGGCCAAGCACTGATCCCCCAATTTTACTTTAGAATAAGGTGAGGAGTTTTGGTTCACATTAATATATAGGATTCCAACCAACCGAGTGCTGTCCTCCTGAGTTACATTCGAGCCTTACATCTACATCATTAAACATGACGTGATTTCATAATATTCTCATTGATGTTTGTTCTCAGCACGTATGAGCAGAAGCAACCCGCAGCTATGAAGCCGTCCAGTCCGGTCACTCCCCCCTGTAGCACCCCCGTGTCCCCAATGCACCACGGCTCCCCTATCTCAGAGAGGAGCTACGGCCTCAGCCACATCCCAACCACTCAGCCCCTGTCTGACAGCGCATATGGCATGGACCACCGGTACAAGCACGCACACACACACACACACGCACACAAACACACGCACGCACACAAACACACGCACACACACACACACACGCACACAAACACACGCACACACACAAACACACGCACACACACACACACACGCACACAAACACACGCACACACACACACACACACTCGCACACAAACACACACACGCACACGCACACACACACACACACAAACACAAACACACACACGCACACAAACACACGCACACAAACACACGCACGCACACAAACACACGCACACAAACACACGCACGCACACACCTTGATGTTGAATGTTTTATTACTTTGACTTAAGTGTAGCTGAAGTATGATTGAATAAATTATATTTTTAAAGTGTGGTACATTATTGTGGTGGCAGGTTCCGCCGGCAGCTGTCTGAGCCGTGCCACTCGTTCCCTTCTCCCCCGGCTCTGTCCCGGGACAGCAGACCCATGTACCAGCGACAGATGTCCGAGCCCAACATCCCCTTCCCCCCTCAGGGCTTCAAACAGGAGTACCAGGATCCTCTGTTTGAGCACCCAGCCATGATGGGGGCTCCGCTGCCTCATGCCTACGCCCCCAACATGATGATCAAGCAGGAGCCCCGAGATTTCACCTACGACTCAGGTGAGGACACACACTTACCTATGACTTACCATCCATTTTCTTCCACTTATTCGGCTCAACTGAAGTTTAGTTTAGTTTAATACAAATTTATGTCACTATAATTCCAGTTGGTAGAACATTGGCCTTTGAGCCTGAAGGTCGTGGGTTTGAGCCCACCACAAGACTTTCTCCATCGACTCACACTGATCTCTGCTGTCGTTCTATCCTTGGGCAAGACACTGAACCTCTGGGAACACCAGGTGCCACAGTAGAGAGCCTGCGGCTGTAAAGTGCCAAACTGCTGTTGTGTCCTTAGGCAAGACACTTCACCCACATTGCCTAGAATGGGTCTGGTGTGTGTGTGAATGGTTGGTGGTGGTCGGAGGGGCCAATGGCACCCAGGGCAGCTGTGGCTGCAGTAGTAATTTAATGTCACAGTGTATGGAGTGAATGAAGTGAATGTGTAGCGGGTTTGAGTGTCCAAAAAAAGCGCTATATAAAACCGATGCATTATTATTTTTGGTCTCATTCTTAAATCTGCTTCTTCAAACTCAGGCTGTTGTCTGATTTGTTCACAATAATTTACTTTTAGACACAAAATACATTTTATGTTTAGTCAAAAGCCTTCTTGGACCAGTCCTGGGGCAAGTAGGGCTGGTGGAAACAGGGCTTCAGAAAGGACCAATCTCACTCACAGGGCTCTTTCTTACACAAAAGATAACATGTTTTCTGATAAGATGCATGTTGTGGTCTGAGTTGTTCACAACATTTTACTTTCACATTACACTAAGTGGGACACATAATGTTAGGTACATCCGCCCTAGACCCAGTCCACAAATCAAAAAAGTCCCTTTCTGTTTGAGTTGGGAAAATAGAATGTGATAATGTCCTAATCCCATGTCCTAGTCCCTCCATCATAGACAGTGGGCGGTTATTGAGTTTGTCCATTATTAGCCAGGCCTGTGCTAATGTCCACGGCTCATTTCCTGTGCGGCTTAATAGACAAGCTCTGGTCCCCTGGTCAGAGCTCTCCCCCTGGGCGGACGCCTCTGACATGGGGCCCGGCTGGAGGACCCAGTTGGAGGGCAGGTGTCTAAAAAACTTGTACCAGATATTATGAAAAATAGAATAATAAAATAATGTCCTGTAGTTTTCCCAGATAAGAGTGACAATGCCCCCAAATAATGTTTATGGTCTCTCTCTCTGGCCTCTCTCTCTGGTCCCTCTCTTCGGCCCCTCTTCCTGCACTCTCCGGTCTCTCTCTCTGTTCCGACCGTGCTTCTCAGCCCTTCTCAGTGCAGTTAGCATGTTCTCCTTGTGTCTGTAGGTTAAATACAATATGTTAAATTGTATTGTATTGTAAGCAAAGCGAGCAGTAGACCCAGACTTGACACCAGCTGTACCAGGATCAGAGCCAAACACCAGCTCCTTTACAAAACAAAAGAACATGTAGGCAACCTCGTAGTGGTGCAGAGATTGTTCTCAATGATTATCAGTCATTAGGCGTTATTAGGCACCAAAACTACAGCCTGGACTCTTCATAAGGACTCCAGGCTCCAGCAGTGAATGAAAATATACTCTCTTTCAGTCATATTATAGAGAATAAAGTGTAAGGAGAGTAAAAGTCCACCACGACCCAACTGAAACTGATCAATCCCAATCACAACTGCTAACCGACGGACAGCCTCCGCTCATGGTTCTTGCGTCTTGTGACTTTTGAAACAAACGTTGATTTCTGCAACAGTTAATTCCTCTGTAAATGCTCATAATGGACTGCGTGCACATGTGAGATTGATGGCAGCTCTCGGCGTGTGTCCTGGTGCGACTGCGGAGGGAGGAGGAGCAGTAATCTCATCAGCTCCACTTCCTCCTCAGCCCATTACGGTGATGAAGTTCAGGGAGATGTTTACGGCTGTGCCTCGCTTTGGGCCAGCGCAGTGGGAGGGGCGGACACCAGGACTTCAACCGCCTAATCAAGGCATATAATTGATGTTGAGAGGTTGTTTGCAAGCCACATTTTGAGTTTTAACATTTCTCCCTCATCAAAAAGATAAGCGAGGAGGTTTAAAGCTCCATCCACGGCAGAGGAACCAAAAAGAGACCTGACGAAGACCAGAGGGACCAGAAAGAGACCTGACAGAGACCAGAGGGACCAGAAAGAGACCTGACAGAGACCAGAGGGACCAGAAAGAGACCTGACAGAGACCAGAGGGACCAGAAAGAGACCAGAAAGGAGACTCAAGAAAGACCAGGGAGAACAGAGAAAGACCATTGTATAGGAACTTAAACAGTTTTTGTTTGATGTGGATTTTTTCAGGAATTGTAGATGAATTAATAACAAAATCTGACTTTTGACATTTACCATAGTTGGTGAATGGATGGGTTGTTTGTTGCCCTCCACTGCAATGTAAAACTAGTGTCCTAAAATGGGATATCAAGTTAAATTCAGTAACATTTACCAACACATTATCCGTTTACCATTTATGATAACATTTGGAAGGCATCCGTACATCCTGAACCCAAGGCATGCTTGAACAGAGACATCTGTGCTTGACCCGCCGGAGATTTTCTCTGTAAAATAACTCAACAACAAATGTGTTAAAGGTGTTCTTTAATGCCTCTGGAAATCCTATCCAAAAAGAATTCACATAAATTGTCATGAGCAGAAGCTGCAGGCCTGAGCTTTAATCAGAGCCAGTGGTGCAGTGAACCACAAGGACTGTAGTGATATCGAGACAGAGATGAGAGGATGATTGTCCACAGCTGCCTCAGGCTCCGTCTCACTCCTCTGTTTCCTTTCTCTCAGCTGAAGTGCCCAGCTGCCACTCGGTCTACCTGCGGCAAGACGGATACCTGGCCCACGCCACCAGGACGGACGGTACGACTCATTTACTCAACAATGTTTTCAAATCAGACTACTATATTCTGAACCTAAATATGTACTTGTTGCAAAGTGAGAAAGGGAACAAGGGCCAAAACTACTGAGCGGTTTATCAGAATAACCTTATGTTTTGGCTTGCTCTGTTCCAGGATGCATGTTCGACAAAGTGGCAAGACATTTCTTTGACGACACGTGTGTGGTGCCAGAGAAGGGAGAAGGTGCGTTTATTTACACACAGCTGTAATGACACATGTTACGTGGAGCTGCCACTCAGACCTGTTACAGTTCCTGGCTCCACTGCCAGGATTTCCAGCCTGCTTCAGGCTCCCTGCTGGGAGCCTATAAGACCACATCTTGCCTCCACCCATCTATCTCTCTATCCTGGCAGCAGCAGCCCTGCTTACCACCACACCTGCCTTCCCGTTTTTGGTTTTCTTTGTGTTATTTCCATAGACTTTTGTGTTGTTAATACATTATTTTAACTTTTAGTTGCCTGTTGTCCTTTATATTGCACCTGTAGAGCCAGGGTGTAACACACAGCACTGTTTTGGCTTCTTACAGTGGACTCAAAGCTATGAAGCACTGTCCAGATCCCCAATGACACACATTTCTCTCACATGTTGTGAGAACTTCTTTTTTGGTTAAGGTAATCCACCCCTCCTCATCCTGACTAGACACTAGAATAGGACTGTTGGAAAATGTCTATATTTCTTGAACCATTTTCACATTTCTCCACGTGGATGAGAAAGTGGCCATAGTTCATTGTAATGTGATTTTCTCTGGTCTCTCTCTAATCTCTTTGGTCTCTCACTTACATCTCCTTTTCTACTCTGTCTGGCGCTGAGACTTTAAGACTTATTTTGAAAGTTGTTTTGACCTTTTTATTTTGACACGTGTCTGTCTTCCCTGTGGTGTTTGTGTGTGTGTGTGTGTGTGTGTGTACCAGAGGTGAAGCAGGAATCAGGCCTTTATCGTGAGGGCCCCTCATACCAGCGGCGTGGGTCCCTGCAGCTTTGGCAGTTCCTGGTGGCTCTGCTCGACGACCCGGGGAATGCCCACTTCATCGCGTGGACCGGCCGGGGAATGGAGTTCAAACTCATCGAGCCTGAGGAGGTGAGTTACACACTCAACGACCAATGAGCAGTGTGCAATCACTACAGCGCAATCTCTGGTCTCTCTCTGGTGTCTTCCTGGTCTCTCTCTGGTGTCACTGGTCTCTCTCTGGTCTCTCTCTCTGGTCTCTATCTGGTGTCACTGGTCTCTCTCTGGTCTCTATCTGGTGTCACTGGTCTCTCTCTGGTCTCTAACACACAGACACCTGCCTCCACCCCCCCAAACACACACACTTTGCATTTCATTTCGTTCATTTGTTCTTTCCCCTGTTTCAGCCCCTGGAGTCATAGACACTAGTTATTAGCTGATAATGAAGTCACGTTTGGTGTGTGCGGCGCCTCGTCAGCTCCTGACAGCATCATTATCACTTGTATTTTTAGATCATAAAGTTGAGCTGCTCTTATGAAACAGAGGAGTCTCCTCTTTGCACTCGGCCTGCTGGCAAATAAATGTGTTGAAGTGAATATATAATATTGAATATGCAATATTTGTACAATTACTGTTTAGCACCATCCGTAAACCCTGGAGCTGGAGTCCAAACAAACACAACTGGTCCATAGGGAGCAGTATAACCATTGTCCAGAAATGTTAATAAATGTGCAAAAATGTCCCTGATCACCTGCATTAGCAAAGAACCACTCAGATACTCAGTGAGGAAAGATGTGAGATTCCTCACGGAGGCCCATATTGAGATCAGAATCCACTTCCACGGACGGACAAGCTCTATTTTCAGGACTGAAGCTGTACTTCCAGGACTGAGGCTGTAGATCCAGGACTGAGGCTGTAGATCCAGGACTGAGGCTGTAGATCCAGGACTGAGGCTGTAGATCCAGGACTGAGGCTGTAGACCCAGGACTGAGACTGTAGATCCAGGACTGAGGCTGTAGATCCAGGACTGAGGCTGTAGATCAAGGACTGAGGCTGTAGACCCAGGACTGAGGCTGTAGATCCAGGACTGAGGCTGTAGATCCAGGACTGAGACTGTAGATCCAGGACTGAGGCTGTAGATCCAGGACTGAGGCTGTAGATCCAGACTGAGGCTGTAGATCCAGGACTGAGGCTGTAGATCCAGGACTGAGGCTGTAGATCCAGGACTGAGGCTGTAGATCCAGGACTGAGGCTGAGATCCAGGACTGAGGCTGTAGATCCAGGACTGAGGCTGTAGATCCAGGACTGAGGCTGTAGATCCAGGACTGAGGCTGTAGATCCAGGACTGAGGCTGTAGATCCAGGACTGAGGCTGTAGATCCAGGACTGAGGCTGTAGATCCAGGACTGAGGCTGTAGATCCAGGACTGAGGCTGTAGATCCAGGACTGAGGCTGTAGATCCAGGACTGAGGCTGTAGATCCAGGACTGAGGCTGTAGATCCAGGACTGAGGCTGTAGATCAGGACTGAGGCTGTAGATCCAGGACTGAGGCTGTAGATCCAGGACTGAGGCTGTAGACCCAGGACTGAGGCTGTAGATCCAGGACTGAGGCTGTAGATCCAGGACTGAGGGTGTAGACCCGGGCTCACTTTATATTTTCCTATAACACAAACTTGAATATAATAGTATCCCACAGAGGTGTGTGTCTCTGTGTGTGTGCGTACACACCTGTGCACACACACAGAGTGGAGGATCTCAGCGGGCTCCGGCTGCTGCTCTGTGGGTCTGTTAGTGTATGTGTGTGTACAAGTGCATGTGTGTGTGTGTGTGTGTCTCCGGCTGCTGCTCTGTGGGACAGGTGTGTGTGTGTGTCTCTGTGGGACAGGTGTGTATGTGTGTCTCTGTGGGACAGGTGTGTATGTGTGTCTCTGTGGGACAGGTGTGTATGTGTGTCTCTGTGGGACAGGTGTGGGAACATCTGCTGCTCCTAATGAACACGTCGCGGTCACTTGTGTTTGATCGTCCTGATGAGACTCGTGTGGATACATCCTGGAGGGGACGAGGACTGGGGCAGCTTGTGTAGAGATGTTAGCCACGTTACAATATTGTTCCCACAACTTTGTAAAGTCCTCTGAGACAACTGTTGCAGTGATTTAGGGTGAGACACAAATACATTTAATTTAATGGAGTCTGACTCTTAAGGGCCGAGTCCAAGTCGAGTCGCAAGTCTCTAACATTTAAGTTAGAGTCCGACTTTGGATTCCACATCTCTGCATCTGAACAACTGTTTCAAATTAGTTCACAAAATTGTTGATCTACTACTGGCAAAATACTGCAATTTAAAATCTTTCATTTCAAGCTAAAAAATAGGCTCAATAAATTGAGGCAAACAACAATTTACAGAAAAAATCATCATAGATCATGTGTGGGCTGTGTTTGGTGCAGCTGCTGCTGATTCTCCATAACATATTTTTATACATTTACCGTTATTCCACATGCTTTTAAAATCCTGAAACATCCAAGTGAAAGTGAAAGTCCAGGATCTGTGTGTGTTGTGTTGAAGGTGGCGCGACGGTGGGGAATCCAGAAGAACCGACCTGCCATGAACTACGACAAACTGAGCCGCTCGCTGCGCTACTACTACGAGAAAGGCATCATGCAGAAGGTAATAATGATCAATGAAACTAATAACATTTATAATAATAATGCATATGTTTGACCAGAGAGAGAGAGCACTGTGACCACAGTGTGGTATCATACTCTTCCTACAATAATAATGCTTACACATCGGTACAGTGAAGGACACACACAGTGTGCCAAATAGCAGCAGACTTTGTGTTTAAATGCCTGTGCCAATCACAAATCAGTATAACATTTGTCGCCTTTAATGATTGATTAATGCTTTGTGATTCAGCTTTCAGAGTAATTGCCTTTAAAAGGATGAAAAGACAAATGTCAGAATGAAAGTGACATTTCAGTGATCAGTGATTATTGATCTTCCAAAGGTTATTCCAACATGATTGTGACGTCTGGAGCAGCTGTAACAGCTGTTTTCCTGTTTGAGTCACATTTATTCTGTAAAGAATATGTAGTGCAATTCAATGAATTTGTTTAGCGCCATAACTCACAACAGCAGTTTTCTCTGAGGAATTTTCAAAGTTGTGGATTCACCAACAGCAGATAGAGAATCAAACAGCCTGCAACAACAACAAGCACATAGGAGCCAGTGGTCCAAAGGGAGTGGGATTCCCACTGTTGAGCAATATAGCACAGAAATGTCCTGGATCATCACTGTCCTTGGACCCTGCTGCATCGGCAAAGAACCACTGGGGAATGAGAAGTGAGAAACCTCAGGAAGGCCCATATTAGGAGAGGGATCTGCTCCCATGGACGGATAGTCAGTACATCCAGGACTGAGGTTGCGCGACTGAAAAAGTTGATAAAGGGGCTGGAGGGCTGAAGTCAGGTCTGATTAAAATGATTCCTTCTTCTTCTTGGAGAAACATATTGCTCCGGTTTTCTGCCTTTAAAACAAAAGTTTTGCCAATGAATTAGTTTTTGTCATTTATCAGATAATGTTTCACATCACATCTCTTTGTTCGCAGTCGGTAATTTTCAAATTCACAAAAAACAAAACAAATTGTCCTTTTTCCTCGGGTGGCAAAATTATTATTTAATATTTATTTCAAGTGATTCTAACTGAGTGTGAGACCCCTGCTCCATAATAAATGCATATCTGGGTTTGTATGTGTGTTTTGCAGGTGGCTGGTGAAAGATACGTGTACAAGTTTGTGTGTGACCCTGAGGCCTTGTTCTCCATGGCATTCCCCGATAATCAGCGCCCAGTGCTGAAGACGGACGCAGAGCGGCAGATAAACGAGGAGGACACCGTTCCCCTGTCTCACTTCGATGAGGGCCTGGCCTACGCTCAGGACGGCCCCTACTGCCCCCCCCACCACCCCTACAGCGAGGCCTACGTCTACTGACATACACCTGGGGCGGCGCCCACCACAGGCCCCGCCACCAAAGAGAGATTAACCTCGGGTTAAAGTGACTAAGCATTGGTTTTTCCATTCATTTTGTACCAGTTTCAAAGACCTATTTTCAGCACTTTATTTCAGAAAACAATACCCATAAAGCTGGGGTACCACAACATGATGTTTTCTTCTCACTAGAAAAATTTTTATCTTCTCATACTTGTAATAAAGAGCCCTATGAATCACTATTTGATGCTTTGGACTGCGAGCTGATTGGCTGAGTGAGGGTGGGAGATGAGGCATAAAACGCGTACATCATAAATCTAGAGATAGAAGCAAACTGTTTGAAAATTAGGTACCCCAGCTTTGAGTCATTCGCAATTTTCAGAAATGTGTTGAAACAAGTAAATGTATTATACATGATTTTAAGTCATTTTAAGCCTGATAGAAACTGAATTTGTGCGATGTGAAAGAGGACAGGAAAATAGGACCATATATGGAGCCTGAGTCCGAGATAGGACTCCCAAATAAGGCCTGGACTCCCGAATAAGGCCTGGACTCCTGGATGAACTCCATTTCCTGATTGAGTCTTCGGGAAACGCACAACGTCATTGTCTTTGTTGGGTCCATGTCCCTGTGAGGGTCCGTGCCCCTGTAGGGGGCGGGCCCCTGTGAGGGTCCGTGCCCCTGAGGGTCCGTGCCCCTGTGAGGGTCCGTGCCCCTGAGGGTCCGTGCCCCTGTGAGGGTCTGTGCCCCTGTGAGGGTCTGTGCCCCTGTGAGGGTCCGTGCCCCTGTGAGGGTCCGTGCCCCTGTGAGGGTCCGTGCCCCTGTGAGGGTCCGTGCCCCTGTGAGGGTCTGTGCCCCTGTGAGGGTCCGTGCCCCTGTGAGGGTCCGTGCCCCTGTGAGGGTCCGTGCCCCTGGTGCTGCTGGCTGTTGTGCGCTGAGGGGTTATGAGTCACAGAGATTTTAAAGCCACTTGTTGCATGTTTCTCATCAGCTTTTGTCTTGTTCAGTTTTCGTTTTGTCTCAGATAAAGTTCACTGTCTGCTGATGTTGGAAAAAGTGGTTTCTTCAATCAACAATTTATTTCAACACAAAAAATCCCTCAAACATGTTTTTGAGGAAGAGAAAGGTTTGAATCTGTTACTGTGTTTCCATCTTTAAAGAACTGCCACATACTGTATGTTCATTTTGTACCGTACAGGAAGTTAGAGATAACTGAAATGAACACCTCTGTTTAGTAGTGGAGTAGGAAAAGATACTTGATTCTAATCTGAAACTAATATGGCGTGGTAAGAGAACTTTATTTGTATAGCACAGTTCATACACAACTCAAAGTGCTGAACAATGCAAGAAAAAAAACATTAAAAAATACTTTACAAAGAAAAATATAATTTTTGCAGTAAAATCCCTTCTGTTATAATGTGATCTGCATAACCTATTGGAACAGTCCATTTTCCGTCATTATTGGCTTTGTTTCCACCAACCCTACTCTGCTCTGCTCTACTTGGCTCTAGTCTACCTGTTGCATTCCTATTCCGCTTTAGTATCTGGTGCTGTATCAACAACCTACCCGTAAAAAGCAGTACCCAAGGAAATTCCTGAGATACTATCGCTTCCATCAGCACTATCAGCTACAATAGAGTAGAGTCGGGCTGGAGGAAACATGGCTATTGAGACCAGTTGAAGAAAACTGATTTCCACAACCAAAACTTCCACTCATCTTGTTCTGGCTGCATGAAGCGCTGACATCAGGAGGGGGAAGCAGATGGAGGACCAGGCTCCAGAGGAAACCAGGAGCAGCTTACCCTCAGTCACACAGAGGACCAGGCTCCAGAGGCACCCAGGAGCAGCTTACCCTCAGTCACACAGAGGACCAGGCTCCAGAGGCACCCAGGAGCAGCTTACCCTCAGTCACACAGAGGACCAGGCTCCAGAGGCACCCAGGAGCACCCCACTCTCAGTCCCATGGGAATCTAAAACATATACAAGGACTCTTGGAACTCACAGAATGACAGTATTTTTCCGTGACTGGAGTGATTGACTTGAATTCGGAAAGACTCCAGACTAAAGGGGGTGGGGGCTGGCATTGAAAAAAATTAATGATGCTATTTTTGCAATTCATCAGAAACGTGTTAAATATGTGTGTTTGTGTCTTTGTGTTCAAAACAGTAAACATGCAGAATTACCCTGAACGATTTGGTTTTTATGTCATCATGGAGACAATACACTCACACACCCGCTGGTCGGCTAGCCATGACTTTCGCCATGGAGAACAAGGCTTCAGGGTTACACACAAACACGTATCTTTCACCAGCCACCTGCAAAACACACACACAAACACTTTCTGGGTCGGGGGGTGGCAATGAGAGCTGCCACCCAATGCTGATAGCACCAGTCCCTCACTGATCCTCCGGCAGGTGGTCCACAGGAAGATGGCTTCTTGAACGCAGCCTTGTTCTTTCAGCAAGGGCTTCAGGCAACGTGGGGTTAAGTGTCTTGCCCAAGGACACAACGACAGTAGGCATTTAACAAACATTTTACTCTTAAAACCCACATACATGGAACATGGAACAATCAACATCTCGCCTCAAATTGCATTAAAAGTGACATTCATGTCTTAATTTGTTCGTATTGTAAGTTTTTTGTTTAAAGTCACAGACTTTATGGTCGCCATCTTGGTTTGCTTTGGCTGCCGTGAGACCATAGACTGCAAATATAAACGGACGTGGTCACGCCTATCTCCGCCGTTCAAACTTATGGGCCGTCACTTTTGCCTTCTGTGGGGCTTTTCAAAATGGCCGCAGGGGCAGGGAAATGTGAAAATATGTATTTCTGGTCCCTTGTTTATCACACGGGTGATGTGTTTTAAAAATAACCAACAATATTTGTATGTTTTAAGGCAGCAAAACCCCTCACACACAATTTACACAATTTTATCATACGTCTCCTCACAGTAGCAGTAGAACACTAAATTGATTTGAATGTAATTTCAAATCGTTCCACAAGCAGAGCTGTTTTAAAGCATTCTCTGAGTGCAGAGACCTGAGGACTGGACTAATGTGGTCGTACTTCCTGGTTCTAGTCAGGACTAATGTGGTCGTACTTCCTGGTTCTAGTCAGGACTAATGTGGTCGTACTTCCTGGTTCTAGTCAGGACTAATGTGGTCGTACTTCCTGGTTCTAGTCAGGACTAATGTGGTCGTACTTCCTGGTTCTAGTCAGGACTAATGTGGTCGTACTTCCTGGTTCTAGTCAGGACTAATGTGGTCGTACTTCCTGGTTCTAGTCAGGACTAATGTGGTCGTACTTCCTGGTTCTAGTCAGGACTAATGTGGTCGTACTTCCTGGTTCTAGTCAGGACTAATGTGGTCGTACTTCCTGGTTCTAGTCAGGACTAATGTGGTCGTACTTCCTGGTTCTAGTCAGGACTAATGTGGTCGTACTTCCTGGTTCTAGTCAGGACTAATATGGTCGTACTTCCTGGTTCTAGTCAGGACTAATGTGGTCGTACTTCCTGGTTCTAGTCAGGACTAATGTGGTCGTACTTCCTGGTTCTAGTCAGGACTAATGTGGTCGTACTTCCTGGTTCTTGTCAGGACTAATGTGGTCGTACTTCCTGGTTCTAGTCAGGACTAATATGGTCGTACTTCCTGGTTCTAGTCAGGACTAATGTGGTCGTACTTCCTGGTTCTAGTCAGGACTAATGTGGTCGTACTTCCTGGTTCTAGTCAGGACTAATGTGGTCGTACTTCCTGGTTCTTGTCAGGACTAATGTGGTCGTACTTCCTGGTTCTAGTCAGGACTAATATGGTCGTACTTCCTGGTTCTAGTCAGGACTAATGTGGTCGTACTTCCTGGTTCTAGTCAGGACTCGAGCTGCTGCATTTTGAATGTACTGCAGCTGTTTTACAGCCTGTTTGGACAGACCTGTGAGCAGGCCATTGCAGTAGTCTAACCTACTGGAGACAAATGCATGGATAAGAATCTCCAAGTCTGCTTTAGACACTATGTTTTTGATCCTGGCAATGTTTTTTAGATGGTAAAAAGCTGCTGATGTTACTGATTTGATGTGGCTATTAAAATTTAAGTCTGAGTCCAGTATTACCCCTAGATTTCTGACCTTGTTTGAAGGTTTTTGGGAGAGAGACTGTAGGTGACAGATGACGCTCTCTCTTTGTTTCACTGCAGTGCACACAAGCCACAAAAGCTTTCTTCTGACTTTAAATGAAGGCAACTCCCTTGTTATATTAATGGTTGTATGACGTTGCAGACACAAAACAAACATACCTCACAAAAAATACAACTATAAACACATGTTTTTCTAAAATGGCATTAGCTACAATAAACCAATACAATTTCTAATACGATAAATGTCCATGGATGCTGACACGATTGTCTATCTAAAATGTGCTTTTTGAAATAGTTTTTGATCTACAGAACATTTCAGACTGTCTGGAAGCTAACTCCACTAGCCTGACTCTCGCCAGACCCTGGAAGTTTGCTGAGCTTCACACAAGGGTCTGGGTCTGCTTCATAGCGGATTTCAGGTGAAAGGGCCTTGTAAAAAAAATCCTTGTATGTGATTGGATAAACCGCTTGTCTGTAATCGTGAATGAGGTGTTCCTTGAACCACTCACATCAAAGCACACAACTCCTCACTGTGTTGCAGGGTTGCCAAATGCTGGAAAGATTTTCCAGCCCAAAACCCGCAAGAATTCTCCAAAAAAAAAAAAAAATGTTTTTGGCTAAAAACTTAATGCAATCAACTTGGGCTATAGTGATTCTGTTTATTGTCTTTCTGTCTATTTATTACCTACAAGTCGCTTGGAACAGCGACAGGGTTGCCGGGGGACAGGCACGAGAAGGTCCCTGAAAGAGTTTGCATTGGCGTCGATCCCAGACCCTTGTGTTCAGCCAAACGCCTCTAGTGGAGCATGGTGGAACTACGAGGTTCTGGCAAGAGTCAGGCTCGACTGTTTAATGGCGTGAAATGAGAAGTCCAAGGATCTTTTTGGGATCACACCATTTTTGTTTACAGTGGACCGAATAGATCGAGAGCTAAATCATTTGTGATTTTCAATATGTACTTCTGAGATTATTGTATATAACTACATTGTCAAAACTCAGCAATAAATACTTGCTCAGAATATTATATTGATGATAGCGAAGTGTTTTAGTCAAGTGCCTTTAAAGCCTCATTATACTGCAAACAGATCTAACAGGTTTGAGCCTGATGACACCGTGAATGTGTGTATGATCTCATTGACTACTCTGCTCTAGAATCCAGTAGATTACATATAGACCAGGGGTCGGCAACCCGCGGCTCTTTAGTGCCCCTCGAGTGGCTCCTGGAGCCTTTTAAAAAATGTCTGAAAATGGAGTGGGAGGGGTATGTTTTATTTCTAGTTTCATTGGGGTTTCTGTAGGAGAAACAACATTCTTAACCTTTTCCATTGTAGTAAAAATGTGCATAAGAAATATTCAATTTTAACATTTCTGTCAACTGAGATCTGCGACGCGCGGTTACGCGGCCCTGCGCCGGGCGGCCACTGTTGTAAACAAACCGGCATGTGCCACATGAATACCAAAGCTATAAAGAGAAAGATAAAAAGAACTCAAGGAAGAATGGGCTGGAACATTTGCTTTCATTGTCAATGAGGAAGGACTGCTGTGAGAATATATTGAAGAACAAAGAGTCATGTGGTAAATTGGCTGCTGACCCCAGTTTGGAGAGAAACAGTGTGATCGCAATTATTCTGGAGCGGATTCATCTCCAAACTTCTACTGCTGAATTTTGTTGCAACACGAGGAACAAAGAAGTGCGAAACACCGTTCGGGACATTCAGCTCCAGCAAACTCCAGCCTGTGACGTCGTGTGACGTGATGGATATGAACAGACAGTGCTGTAATGCAGGTATGTGAACCAAAAACGGATATATTTACTGTATTTCTACAATTGCATGAATGCAACAAAAGGAAGAGTAGCAGAGTAGTCACATGGTGCGTCATTCTCTTGCACTACAGTGATAATACATTTATAGCCTATACTTACTCATTTTGATAGTAGCTAATACAGCTTGCAGCCTGTGTTGCTTTCATATAATAAAATACTGTAATACTATACTATAATAGTGCCTTATACAAGGCAGTTACGTTTATGCGGCTCCAGACAGATTTGTTTTTTGTATTTTTGGTCAAATATGGCTCTTTGAACTTTTTGAGTTGCCGACCCCTCATATAGAATGATCTTTGATTTTGACTGTGTCACAACATTCCGTCACATTCACAAATTAATATGCACAAATCACAGCATGTAAAATCCCAGAACAAAACCCAGTTTTACAAGCATCCATTCAAGTCATTGTCAAATGAAAATCATATGAAACCTGGACATGTCCATCTGTCTGTTTTGAGAAATGGCAAATCAATGAAAGTCAAAGTCAAAACAGATGAAAATCTTCTGCATCTCTGTCACATACAGCATCTTTATCCATCCATCCATTTTCTTCCGCTTCATCCATTGCCGGATTGCGGGGACAGCGGTCTGAGCAGAGAGGCGCAGACTTCCCTATCCACACACACTTCCTCCAGCTCATCCGGGGGGACCCCAAGGCGTTCCCAGGCCAGTTGAGAGACATAGTCTCTCCAGCGTGTCCTGAGTCTTCCCCTGGGCCTCCCTGGGGAGTGTCCAAGAGGCATCTGGAACAGATATCCGAGCCACATCAACTGGTTCCTATCGGCGTGGAGAACCAGTGGCTCTACACTGAGCTCCTCCTGTGTGACTGAGCTCCTCACCCTATCTCTAAGGGAGCGCCCAGCCACTCTGCAGAGGAAGCTCATTTTGACCACTTGTATCCGCGATCTTGTTCTTTCAAAAAAATAACAATTGTAAACCGCTTTGTGACTCTGGTCTGTGAAAGGCGGCATATAAATAAAGATTACTTACTTACTTACTTACTTTCCGTCATTACCCAAAGCTCATAACCATAGGGGAGGGAGGGAACGAAGATTGACTGGTCAATCGAGAGCTTTGCCTTTCGGCTCAGCTCCCTCTTCACCACAACGGCCGACACAGCGACCGCATCACTGCGCACGCTGCACCGATCCACCTGTCAATCTCACGCTCCATTCTTCCCTCACTCGTGAACAAAACACCTGTAGAGGGCAAGACAACTTTTTCCGGTCGAGCACCATGGCCTCAGATTTGGAGGTGCTGATTCTCATCCCAGCCGCTTCACACTCGGATGCAAACCGTCCCAGTGCATGTTGCAGGTCCTGGTTCGTTGGAGCCAACAGGACAACATCGTCTGCAAACAGCAGAGATGAAATCCTGTGGTCTCCGAACCGGACCCCCTCCGCCCCCTGGCTGCGCCTAGAAATTCTGTCCATAAAGACAGTGAACAGAATCAGTCATAAATACAATCAGATGTAACATTTTATCCAACCGCACAACTGTTTTTAACACATCTGATTGTCCTGGTTGATGCTGAGATGTTTGATAAAGTTTTCTCCTCAGTGAGGCCCACCACATGTCTTTTAGATCCAGTCCCCACTCCATTTTTTAAGTCATTTTATGAATCTTTTAGAGAGGAGCTTTTAAACCTGGTGAATTACTCTCTTCAGACTGGGGTCTTTCCTGCAGCCTTCAAAGCGGCTGTGGTGAGACCCCTTCTGAAGAAGAGCATTTTAGATTTTAATGATTTTAACAACTACAGACCGGTATCCAACTTACCATTTTTAAGCAAAATTTTAGAAAAACTTGTTTTTACCCAGCTCAATGCCTTTTTAGATCAGCAGCAAATTTTAGAGAAATGCCCTGCTCTCTGGTCTTCCCAAAAATAATATTGCAAGTCTTCAATTACTCCAAAACTCGGCCGCACGTGTCCTGACTAAGACCAGGGGGCGGGACCACATTACGCCGGTTTTAAAATCGCTGTATTGGCTCCCCGTGTGTTTCAGGATCGATTTTAAGGTTCTTTTAATGGTTTTTAAATGTCTTAATGGTCTTGGTTCTTCTCATCTTTCAGAACTGCTTTTATCCTATGAACCTTCCCGGCTCCTTGGATGACGCTTTTTCAGCTGGTTGCATCTGAACCCTGCCAAGTCTCTCGTCTGGTTTTATTGTTTTACTGGTGTGTGTGTGTGTGTGTGTATGAGTGTTCATGAGAGCGTGTGTGTGTTTGTCTGTGGTTTGGGGTGGGTCTGTTGGGTGGTCTGGGGGAGGGGTCTTGGGCCGGCGGGATTGTTTTTAACCAAACTGTAAAGCACTTTGTGTTGCATCTTTTGTATGAAAAGCGCTTTATAAAAAAATTTGATTGATTGATTGATTGACAGTAACAAAGGGGAGCCTTGGCGGAGGCCAACATGCACCGGGAACAGGTCTGACTTACTGCCAGCTCCACTTTACCGCTGGACCATGGGTCGAAGTCTCTCCAGTACCTTGGAGTATACCTTACCGGGGAGGCTGAGGAGTGTGATCCCACGAACACACCCTCCGGTCCCCCTTCGTGTAGAGCGGGACCACCACCCACGGTCTGCCACTCCATTGGTAAGGCTCCTGATCGCCAGGTAATGTTGCAGAGACGTGTCAGCCATGCCAGTCCTACAAGAGAGGACTAGTCCAGAGACTTTCGATAGTCAGGACGGATCTCATCCACTCCTGGAGCCTTGCCACCAAGGAGGCTGCCAACCATCTTGGTGACCCCAGCCATGGAGATGGACGTATCAGCCCCAACATCTTTAGCCTCCGGAACGAAGGACGTGACGGGGGGAATGAGGAGAGCCTCGAAGTATTCCTTCGACTGCCCAACAATATCCCCAGTCGAGGTCAGCAGCTTTCCACCCGCACCGTGCATGGTGTTGGCAAAGAACTGCTTCCCCCTCCTGATGCGCTTTTCAAGGCCGACCGATAGTCATTCTCCATGGACTCTCCAAACTCCTCCCAGTCCTGGGTTTTTGCCTCTACAACAACCCAGGCTGCGGTACGCTTGGTCTGCCGATACTGGATAGCTGCCTCAGGAGTACCACGAAACATCATGGCTCGATAGGACTCTTCCTCAGCCTGACGGCATTCCTTACTATCGGTGTCCACCACCGGGTTAGGGGATTGCTAGCGGGACCAGCACCAGAAACCTTGCAATCTCAGCTGCGAGCCGCCGCTTTGGCGATAGAGGTGGAGAAACATGGTCCACTCAGACTCGATGTCCCCCTCCTCCCCTGGGACCTGTGAGAATCTCTCCTGGAGGTGTGAGTTGAAAGTCTGTTTGAAAGGGCACTCAGCGAGACGCTCCTAGTAGACCCTCACAACACGCTTGGGTCAGCTAGGTCTGACCGGCTTCCTCCCCTCCCAGCGGATCCAACTCAAGACTAGGTTGTGATGAGTTGACAGCTCTGTTCCTTTCTTCACCCAAGTGTCTGAAACACGCGATGTCCCAGTAGAATATGATCACGGCTCAACGACGCGCACGCCTCAACGACGCTGCACGCTTTGACGGCGCACGCTTTGACGGCGCACGCTTTGACGGCGCACGCTTTGACGACGGCGCACGTCGGCGGCCGCACGCTTCATCGCAGCACGTCGGCGGCCGCACGCTTCATCGCAGCACGTCGGCGGCCGCACGCTTCATCGCCGTACGTCGGTCGGCGCACGCTTCCACGCCGGTGGCCGCTGTTTGACGCCACGTCGGTGTCCGCCTCCTGCCGCATTCTCGACGCCACGCTTCGACGCATTCGTGTACTCTCATCCATTCATCGTGGGACCAGTGTCGACCATGGACTCGCGTTCCCTATTGGGGGGTGAACAATCCAACGCTTGGAGAGTTCTGCTTCACAATGACGGGAAGAGCCGGCATTGAAGGATCAGGTCAGTGGTCTGACTGAAGACGTGGTCTGACTGAAGACGTGGTCTGACTGAAGACGTGGTCCGACTGAAGACGTGGTCCGACTGAAGACGTGGTCCGACTGAAGACGTGGTCCGACTGACGACGTGGTCCGACTGAAGACGTGGTCCGACTGAAGACGTGGTCCGACTGACGACGTGGTCCGACTGAAGACGTGGTCCGACTGAAGACGTGGTCCGACTGAAGACGTGGTCCGACTGACGACGTGGTCCGACTGAAGACGTGGTCCGACTGACGACGTGGTCCGACTGACGACGTGGTCCGGCTTTTGGTGTGCAGCACTGCCCGCCACGGTTTGCGTGCACTCTGAGTGGCTGTAGGCGGTGCTGCTTCTCATGTTCCCCAGGCATATTCTCTCCTGGTCTCCTGGTGCGGCTCCTGCCGCCGGGCCTGTCTCACGCTTCGCCTTACCTGACACACCCTGGCCCTCATTCTGACCGGGCCCTTGTGCGTTGGTTTTTGGGGGTCCAGAGATCTCCTATCGAACATCAATCTTCCTGGGTAAGTGTACTTCATGAATCTCATTTTCACCTTCTAGTCTCCCCAAGTGGAATCATGTTTGAATATCAGCGCTCTAAACACCAGCAGTTCATCCTTCATTCAGCATTCTCCTTTCCCTCTCACTGCACACTCTCAGTCTCTGGACATCAGAATCGCGGGTACTGCCGTCACTGCCTCATCTACATCGGCATTAAATACATTCTCTACAAATCCACTTCGAGTCACACTGCTCCACCCTCATAAAAAGATCCTTAAAGGAGTATTGGCATGGTCCTTGTTCTGTAGTTTAGGTCCTGGACGACTAGCCTGTCTGTCCGTGGAGTGGATCCCTCTCTCATGTAGGGTCTTCCGAAGGTTTCTCACTTTTTTCCCCACGGGGTTTTTTGAGTTTTCCTTGCCATGCAGTGTCCAACTAGAAGGCCCGTGGTGATGATCCAGGATACTTTAACATTCTACAACATGTATGGACATTTTATCAACATTCATAGACTATAATTACTCCTTAAACAATCCCTTGACAACCCCCTGGTCTGAACAAATTCAAAACCTGTGCTCCCTGCATGTAACCTCTCTTCCTTTCACTACATCCGCCACTCCTTCCGGATAGGAGCAGCCACTTGGGCTGCTGCCGTGGGACTCCCTCAATCATCTCTCCAGGAGCTCGGTCCCCGGTTCTCTACCACATTCATCCGTTCTGGCCTCTCATATAAGTACATATGCATCTCCTGGTGGTGGCAACTCCTCATTTCCAGCATGCCGCGCACTCGAGCCGAGCTCGTGCGCGTGCCAACGCCTAGCGCTAGAGCCGAGCTCACGCCCGGACATTACGCCGTGCACTCGAGCCGAGCTCGTGCGCGTGCCAACGCCTAGCGCTAGAGCCGAGCTCGCGCACGGAAACAGTCACTCACACCATGCGCCTTCCATAAACGCAGCAACCAAGTCGTGGCAAACGCATCGCTAGCCAAGCTCTCTTTTTGGGGATCATGATCTGCCCCAGGCGCAGATCTCTCCAGAGCACGGCCACAGCCGGGGCCTAAGCTCCAAACCAATAAACGAACTCAATCCATAAAATAAACAACTCTTAAACGCATCTCGTCTCTTGTAGTCTCTCCAGGTTGAACCATTTGTACACAGTGATGAGAAGGTTTAATACAGACAAGTCGACAGTCCTAACCCTCTCCTCAGTTTGAGGCTTGAGCTCGATGATGCCCGAAATGAGTGCTTTCAATCTCTAACCAAAAACCGTTTTACAAGAAGGATACTTACTTCTCTTCTTTCTCCTCCTTCTCCTGCTCCTCATCCTCTTCCTCCTCATCTTCCTTCTTCTTCTCTTCCTCATCCTCCTAATCAGGCTCGTAAGTAGTAGCAATACATTTCATATTGGAAGAACCTTCTAAGCCTATTTAGAGCAGGAGAGACTATGGGACCAGGAGAGACTATGGGACCAGGAGAGAGCAAGAGGACCAGGAGAGAGTAGGTGAGCAGGAGACAGCCTTCGTATGGGTTAGGGTAACTGTCTGTGTTAAACTCAACATGTTGCACTTTACTGTTCCACATTGTCTTTGTTTGTTTCTCTTGTTGAATGCAGTCAGTATGCTTTATTCTTTTGCTCTATTTCTTTTTGATATTTTTTTTCTAATTAGACAAAAGTGGTTGCGTGGTTTAGGATAATTTGTGATCTTATTCCGCCTAACAAGGAATTGTCAAAAAATGTTTAATGCCATCTACCATTTGTTTCATGGTGAAATAGTTATTATTATTAAAATGTGGTGCGGTGCTTGCTGTGCACTCAAGTCAGAAGCTGAAATGATTACATTTGTCCACTAAATGTCAGTGTTAAAAGCTAGTATGAGCTAGCTCAGAGGTATTTACACATTTGAAACAATCTGGCAAAGAAATCTTTAATGTT